ACCAAAGGATGTTTAAATACACAGCAGTACTCCTTGCTACATTCTTATTTAAATTTCTATATAAACATTGCTTTAAAATAAGTATGATTCAATCCCAAAGAGGAACCTTCTCCCCAGTGTCCTGTGCACCTGCTCCGGGGCTGGAGCCTGTGCTGGGTGGATCCTGAGTTCCCCCTGCAGCTCAGCTTCTGCATTGCAGGGAGGTTCCTGTCGGGCTCACAGAGCATTCTCCTTCCAGCGTCTCTAGCCCAGTATGAAGTGGCCGTGCCCTGGCTCAGAATACTCCTTCAGCAACACCATGTGCTGATGATACCACCCCTCCCAACAGGAAACAGGCCTCGGTGAACCCAACACATTCTACAGGGAGACCTCAGCACAGCGAGCAGTGAATCACTATAGCCACCAGGGAGCTGCTCCCCAGGAGCTCCAGATGCACTTGCGCTGATGTGGTCCAAACACATGGCGAACCCAGGAAGTCATGCGGACTCTGGGGGAGTCTCTTTTAGTTTATAAAATTCTGTGGTTGAAGGTCAGAGCAGATTATATAACTTTATACCTCTCTCTCTCTCTCTCTCACACACACACACACACACACACACACACACACACACACACACAGTGGCATAATTGCACATTAATGGACCTCAAGTTTGACCTGTTTTCTGGCATCTTGCCAAAAAAATTTTGCTGCCACCACTGACCCTAGACCTGGTTGTGTTGTCGCTTTTCCGTTTTGCAAACAGACGTATGGAAGCTCATTACAACTGGAGACTTGGGAAGTGTCTTCACCTTGTTTCTGCCCATTTTCACCTAGGAAGCCTAAAGATGCCCCATGAGACGTGAATCTAAGGCCATTGAATGAGGCCATGACCTAGGTCCTGAAGCTGCTGGTGTCAGAGGCTTCAAATTGTTCCTCTGTCCTTGACTTTTTCTCTCTCACCACCTTTGGTTCCCTAAACTGACTTCCTTAAGAACCTGTGTATTGCCACAATTTCATCTCATCCAGTTTTATCATAATTGTAAGGAAGCACTGGGTGGGGAAGTAATGGGTATTACATGTTCTTAAAATTAAATTTCAATGTTTTCTTCATGTTCTTTACGGAGGCTGTGTTCTTTATAGGGTGTCCCTAGTGGTACAGCTAATTTTTCTTCACCCTCTACTCCTTCTCCTGGCTTCAGCATCCCTAGGTTATTTTTGTGTCTAATTAATTGTGCCCTTTATGTAACACAAAAAGGCTGTGTGGAAGCCGTCTGGGATGGAGATTCCTTCCCCTTTATACAACAAAGATCTTCAAAAGTCCTTACCCTGCAGGGTCTGTGTAGAGAAGGTTTTGAGTATATTTCTCAGAGACCACTTCTTCTGATGATAGAGCCATGAGGGAATCTACTTTGATTTCCACCTTGAGAACCTGGAGATTTCTGGATGGAAATCCCACAAGAGTGAGGGGTGTGTGGCCCCAGGCAACTCTCACCCTCATTCTACCCATGCCTGTCCTGACATTCATGGTAAATACTAGGTAAGTGTTCCCACCAACTTGTGCTGTCAACTGATAAATCACACAATCTATAACGTTAGAAAGGAGACTTTATTTCTAGTGAAGGTTTGAGTCTGCAGGATGGCCATCCTAACAGGCTGGGAAGCAAAGCCTCCCACAGAGACTGTGAGCAGGCCCTTCCACTAAGGGAAAGATGAGAAATGGATTCATGCTGAATAGACTGGCCAAGTGTGCACACTCACAGGCTACAGAAGGAGCTATGAATATTCACAGATGGGCCAGGCTAAGCTGTGTGATTAGCAAACACACATGTTGTGTGCATTCCAAGTTTGCTTCCGGGTGAGAACTTCACATCTAAATGCATTAAAATTGGGTCCTGTACAGAAGAAGGTTTTTAAAAGTACAGAGGCGCAAAGACAAGCAGCACACAGCCTCTGTAACCAGCCAGGACCAGGCCATGCTCAGCGGTCTCTAATCAGGAGAAAGTCTCTGAAATTGGCCTTGACGGCGGAACCGGGCACAGTCAGCCAGCTTCTGGCGTCTGTGATCTGCGATTGTCTAATCTTGTCTCAGGACCAGTGCTTGGTTAGTTGCCAGAGAAAAAGAAAAGCCTTGTGGCTGTTAGAAAGAACATAGTTTAGGCTGGGTGCAGTGGCTCACGCCTGTAATCCCAGCACTTTGGGAGGCCAAGATGGGTGGATCACCTGAGGTCAGGAGTTCGAGACCAGCCTGCCCAACATGGTGACACCCCATCTCTATTTAAAAAAAAGAAAAAAAAATTAAAACAAAGAACATAGTTTATTACATAAATGTGGGTGTGTGTGACTAGCCCTTACCTCACGTGGCCTTAGCTCTTCAATATAATGTGGTATCTTATTGCCACAAAGTGTTATATGAAGAAGGTCAACTATATTTGATATTCGTTATGCTGGTCACACCAGTGAAAAAAATCTATATAGTGTTCTGCACATATCAGAAAATAGGGAGTGAGAAAGTCACAAACTTGCAAAACCAGGAGACCTGTAATATATTCCGTATTCAGCTCTGTCTATTCTCTAGGAAGATAGGTTATATCTGCATGGAAAATGAGAGAAGTCTTTTTAAAGGTAATTCTCGAGAAAAGTTGCTATCAAAGTTACTCAGATGAGGTTCTGACACAGGACTGTGAAGGGGACGTTGACCCATAGTGGTCACTGTCAGCAATATGGGATGCTCAACCTAGGGGTTTCCTTTGTCAATGTTCTGTCCACGAGAGACGTTACGCTCTAATGTGCCATGTTGCAGGTGAGTTTCTTAACCTCACATCATGATAGGAACGTGAGAACAGAAAAGATGAGAAAAGTGAAGACCACGCTACATCAAATAAGTTCCACTGTTGAGAACTTATCACACAGAGATCCAGGGATGAACTGGGAAGAGGAAGGGGCTGGGAAGCATCATCCGTAAAGGGACACATGCAGCCTGCTTGAGCTCCCCATGGAAGTAGGGTTTAAATGTTTCTTCTCAGCTAATGGTGGCTATGTCAGGACCTCCACCAGCTTTCATCAATACAGATTTCTTAGTAAACAAATGCCCATACTTTATTCAGGGTGGATTTTTTATGCTTATTTTCCTTCTCTAGGAAGCACCACAGAAGGATGTTTCCATGATACTTCTGGATCCTTCTTGATTTCCTGGTGCAGGTCCTGGAGGAAAAGCCTGCACGGGGAAGTGAGTCCTCCTCATGTGCAGCCCTGAGGCTGTCACCTCACCTCATCCACCACTGCCCTTCAGTCACTAAACATTTCTGAGCTAATTTTCCTGAAATGTGTAGTGTTTGGTAGTGTCTTCCCCAGATAAGAAAATACTTAAGTTCTATTTACTCCTGCACGTATCCGTTTCTGGAGCTCAGGTGGTTTTTGAATGTGCAGTAGTGGATAATTAGTGGAAGGAGGTTTGTGTGCACCTTGCTGTCGTCCAGAGTGCACCCCACATGACACTGACACCAGTAAGCAAGCAGATGGACTTGCTCAGCTGGAGGATGACAGGCATTTTTATAACCTGTGGCCCCAGTGAGGCTCTCCTGCTGCAAGACCAGTCAGGCTCAGGCCTCTTGACAATGTGCAGCCAGCACAGGAAGACAGCGCCCACCTCGAAGAGGGGTTTTCCAGGTGCCCACCCTCTTCCTAAGGGGAGCTTTTGTCCCTGCCTGGATCCCATGCATGTGCTTGCATTTGCTGCATAAAAGACTTCAACCAGAAACACCACCCAGGAGCCTACAGTGTAGATAATCCATCTACAGGGCCTCATACCTGACATCTCTCACGGCCAAGGTCTCCACTTCTTATTAAAGGACATTCATTTCATTGGGGGATTCACTAGAACTTCCTGGACTTTTAGAGGCATGGACATGCCTCTAAAAGTTTAGACATCTTACCCTCTGGGAAGGGGCACAGTAAACCAGGAGTGAGATCAGTTCTAAATCAATACAGGTTTTGTGGATCTTGGAAGAAAGTGTCCAAACAGGAATAGCCTTACCCACTTTCCCTCTAAATAATACAATTCCTAGAAACCCTCTGAAAATACCTGTGGTGCTCCAAGATAATTTAGGCTTGTTATACCGGGGGATCACCATTGTAGTTTCATCATTTGTAACTTGCTGGCGACTCTGGTGCAGGATGCTGATAGTGAAGGAGGCTGTGCTTGTGTTGGGCAGGGATTCATGGGAGTTCTGGTACCTTCTGCTGATTTTACTGTTATCCTAAAACTGCTCTAAAATAAACTTTATGCAAAAACAGTGACAGAGAGATTCTTGGAAGACATTTTGGTCATTTCTTCAGAATCATACTTAGTCTTACCATGTGACCAAATAATCTTGCTCCAAATTACTCATCCATCCAATTTGAAAACTTGTTCATAATAATATGTTCATGGGAAAATTTGTATCAGTTTTATTGATACGGTTTGGCTGTATCTCTACCCAAATTTCATCTTGAGTTTTAATAATTCCCACATGTCAAGGGTGGGCCAGGTGGAGATACGTGAATCATGGGGGTGGTTTCCGCCATAATGTTCTCGTGGTAGTGAATGTGTCTCACCAAATCTGATGATGGTTTTATAAAGGGGAGTTCCCTGGCACAAGCTCTCTCTTGCCTGCTGCCATGTAAGATGCCCCTTTACTCTTCCTTCGTCTTCTTCCATGATTGTGAGACCTCAGCCGTGTGGAACTGTGAGTCCGTTAAACCACTTTTCTTTACAAATTACCCAGTCCCAGGTATGTCTTTATTACCAGGATGAGAACGGACTAATACGGGGTCTTTCCTACTCTGTGAATTTGCGTATAGGGTGACTCTTCAATAAAATATTTCTCATAAAATTACAGTGTGCCATTGTTTCTAGTGCTCCTTGTCCTCAGTTATTTAACCCATCTTCTAAACAACTTTAAACCTCATAATCCCTGTCATTGCCTCCACACCAGCACAGCTGCCTCCTCTCTGGGGTTTCTGACATTCTCAGGATGTGGTTTTCACACTGTGTCTCTTGCACAGTAATACACGGCCGTGTCCTCAGATCTCAGGCTGCTTGGCTCCATGTAGGCTGTGCTTGTGGACGTGTCCCTGGTCATGGTGACTCTGCCCTGGAACTTCTGTGCGTAGTTTGTGTTGCCATTACTAGGGTCGATGTGTCCCATCCACTCAAGCCCTTGTGCATGGGCCTGGTGCACCTAGTGCATATAGTGGCTAGTGAAGGTGTATCCAGAAGCCTTGCAGGAGATCTTCACTGATGCCCCAGGCTGCTTCACCTCAGCCCCAGGCTGCACCAGCTGGACCTGGGAGTGGGCACCTGTGGGGAGGACACAGGAGTGGATAAAATCCTCTTTGACTGGACCCAGTCACCTTCTCAGTCCTGGGGACTGAGAATGATCCTACCTGCAGCTATGACCACCAAAAATAGGATCCTCCAAGTCCAGTCCATGGTGAGGAGCTGTGCTCTCAGGGCCTTCTCTGGAGGAGGAGTGTGGTTACTGGGTGATGCTCTCGGGACACAGATATATCTGGAGTATCTACCTCATGTAATTTGCATATTCATGAGCACTACTACTTCATAGCCTTACACCTGATCCAGCATGGGAAAGGGAAAATAGATCTCACATGAACCACACAGCTGTGGGGTGCTGAGGTGCACGTCCTCATTCTTATTTAATGTCGTGTGTCCCTTTATACGTCCAGAACTTTGTGAAGGGAGAATTTCTCCACTGAGAAGCCAACTCACACAGGACATGGTTCTCAATGTGAGCCCAAGTTCCCATGGCACGTGCACAGCCTCCGCCCTCTCCAGGCTTTGCTGTCTGCAGTCTTATTAATGTGTACCTTTATTACATGTGTACCTTTTGATTTAAGAAAGCCATCCTGGTTCTTTATCTTTTTACTAGTAAAATATCTCAAAGCAGTAACAATTTTGCCTTTTAAACGTGATTCTCACTGAATTGTTGATTTATCTCTAAATGTATTAGGGTATTTAAAGATATATAAATCATCTTTGTAAAATTCTTATTTTAGTCTTTTATAATTTTTTGGTAATCAAGAAAGTAACAGTCAGTCCCTGTAAGAAAGCCCCTCCGCACCAGCTCTGGGGCTGGAGTCTGCGTTGGGTGGGTCCTGGGCGCCCCCTGCAGCACTGCCTCTGCATTGCATGGAGGTTTCCATCTGGGCTCACAGAGCATTTATCTCTCAGTGTCTCTAGGGCTATAGGAAGTGGCCGTGCCCTAGTTTAAAACGCTCCTTCAGTGACTCCATATGTTACTGACACCGTCTTTTGAAATCATTGACCTTAGGAGACCCAGTGAATTCTGGAGGGAGACCCTAAACAAGGATTTTATTAAGGAATTGGGGAGCCCCTTCCCTGGATCTCAGGATGCATTGAATCAGTGGACACATAATGAGCACAAAATTTTTCAAGGGCTTTTGGGGATCCTTTATCTGTTTTAGGCTCCTGCAATTGACTATGACATCTAAGAATACCTGTAGGTATATATGCTTATGGATCAATGCCCACTCCACGTCTTCTGTTTCGATAACACACACACACACACACACACTCACACACACACAAACACGCACTCACACTCACACAGAGCTAGTTGATTTTTACAATAATGGGCCTCTAACTTATCCTTTTTCCTAGTATCTTGCAAATGGGGAGCACCCCCTGCACTAATACTAGACAGGAGCATATGACTTCCTTCTGCAAACAGAAGGAAAACAGTATACAATTGGAGATGTAGCATGTGCACATTCATCATGTTTGCCTGTTCTCACCCGAATATTGCGGTTTCCCTAAGGGAAGTGACTTTCTGTCCGGCAAGGGTTGAGTCATAACCCTGGTCATCAAGCTATTGCTGTCAGAGGCTTCCAATTGCTCTGCTGTCCTTGAATTTTTTCTCCTATTGTCTTTGCATTTCTCTGTGTTCTTCTCCCTAGATGGAGTCTGCATTGCCACACTCATCTTCAATTTAGATTAATCATACTGATGAGAAGGTGATGTGTGGGACATCACCTTCTCATCAGTATCATTAATCTAAATATGTGTGTGTATATTTGTGTGTATACAAATATATATTTCTTTTCTAACAAGTATAGGCCTTTGCATTCAGTTAAGAGGTAAACAGATTCACATTGAAGGCTATTCCGTTTAACCCAAGTTCATATTCCACTTCATCTATCCATCCCACACTGCCATACATCTTGAAGAAATGACTGCCAAAAGACTTTTCTTAACTTCTTCTTAGCAATTACCTTAAAAGAACTGCTTGCAAATAATTTATTCCTAGCTTAAATTTTTATTGTGTTCAAAGAAACTCGTCTCTTTAGGAGGTTTCCACATAAGTCAATAGAATCTGCCACCACTGACAGGAGGGCAGAGTACCAGTGACTCTAATTACATGAGCTACTCCAAGGAAAGCTTCAGTGATAATTGTGTTGTTAGATTCTGTGCTTGTTAGGGCAGAAGATGGTGAGGATAACAAAGCAGAGCTCACCTGGTCAAATGGCTGTGTGCCTGGTTGGTTTTAAAATATCTTTGGCATCTTTAGCGACAACATTAAAACATAATGGAATTGAAGCCTGATATAGAATGTACAGAAACATGCACAGGAATAGGCAGCCAAGAAGCATGCTGGACTGTAGCACCAGTGTTTTCTAAAGGTTTATGTAATAAAGATACAGAAGATAAGGTACATAAATAGTTTGGATGGTCCTGCAAACATGGGTTAATATATGCATGCATATTTTCTAGGCCAGTTAGCTTAGAGATCCTAGAAACACTGACACCTCATTAACAACTCACATACCCAATAACACAGTTTGATATTTTAATGTAATTATTTAATACCAGCAACCAGAAATCCTTAGAGAAACAACTGATTCTATGTATGGACAACATAACAGAGAAAATGAGCTTAGGGAAATAGGGACGTGTTCAAAAACAAAGAATGGGGTGTGCTTTACAGAATCCAAACTAAAAGAGCTAACAGAACCTAAAAAAAACCTGTGGTGATTTGAGAAATAAAATGAATAATGTAGCATTGTATCTTCTCCAGATCATAAAGTTAACCTCCATGAACCAATACTAACAATTTATTAATAAAGAAAATTAGATAAAGGACAACTTCCGCGCAGAATTCCAAATAGCTCAATAATCCTCCCACCCAGTAGGTGAAACATAAACACTTATGCTGTGATTGTGGCGTGAGATTAGAGACAAAGAAAAAATCCTGTGTTAGTGAATATCATAATGAATTTTTAGATGATCTATGAGAAAACAAAATTATTTTATTCAAGTTTACATACACACACATATGTATATAAAGATCTTTCTGCAACATTGATAAAGGAATGAAAAAACAAATGAAGACTTGGAGAATAGACTTGCAAGTCATATATTTGTTAATGACTTTTGGTTAACTTGGTAAAGGACTTTTATAATTAGTATGTAAAGAAACTTACAACTGATCAAAAGAAAACAATGCAACAAAATGAACTAAATATCAAAAGAGGCACTTCATCCAAATTACCTAAAATATTTAACTATAAAATGTTAATTCGGGACAGGTGCATTTAAACAACAAAGAGACATCAGTACTAATTTATTAGAATGGTTCAAATGCACAATTCTCATGATGTCAAATGGCAATAAGGATATGGAAGAACTGGGTCTATCATGCATTTCTGGTGTAAATCCAAAATCATAACTGCACAAAATATGTTGAAATATTTTGACGCTTCATGCAATGAAGATAAAAGTAGAATTAAAATGTGATCTAGGAGCTCTGTTCCAAAGTATTAAAAATACCAATTCCAAAACTGATTGTCACACTAATTTTTTTCAGAGGAATTCTTATATGTTTTATTAATTTGATTTATTTTCCAATCCCTGAATTTTGCCTACAGAATACATGTTGTATGGAGAGTTTCCCAAGTAATTAGAGTGCATACAAATTTTATTGTTCCTTTTCTTCATGAATTGACCTCTCTTTCTAAGAAAGTCTTCAATCTAATAATCCCTTTCACTTCCTCAGCCCCAGCACAGCTGCCTCCTCCCCAGGGTGTCTGACACTCTCAGGA